TCAGGTGGTGTCAGAGATCACTGATCAGTATATTGTTCATTACAGACTGATTCACAGCTGCTGAGTGAAGCACAGGCTGAACTCCCGCTGTAGAGGATGATGCTTTTCCTATAGATTCTTACCCCCTTTTCAATATGGCTTTTACCTCTCTGCCTTTCAAACCAAAAAATTGTTATTAGACTAACAGGCTTCTCAAAGATTGATACATTAGTTGCTAATTCCAGTAGAAAATTTTACATTATTTTATAATAAAATATATTATTATTTATATTACACTGCCATTGCTAGCTGTTTTTTAGCTTTAAAAAAAAAAAAACTCTAGTGGTACATGGCTATTCTTGCTTACTAGTTTTGTTAGGTGAATAGTATTGAAATGACTTCAGTATCAGCTTATTCCACACCAGCTTTCCGTTACACCAAGGTCTAAATAGTGAGATTTAAAGGTCCCATTTCCAACTCAAAATCCCCTCCCCTCCAAATTCTTTCTCTTATGTTACTCTTTGTGAGCATGTGTATCTAACATCGTGAGTTCCTTTGAGCACAGGAACCAGGTCTTATTTGTATATTCTTCCTCCTCACCTAGAATACCACTTTCCCGTAATTAGTAATATATACTTAGGGATAACTAAGCAGCACTAAAGTTGATTTTTCTGAACCATCTGTCTAAAATTATGCATGACTGTTTCTTCTTTCATGTAACAAATTTAGAAAATGACTCTCAATGTGGGCAATTAAAAACATAATTCAAACCTTTAAGATAATTCTGTAATCAGAATATAATAATAAATATACTATGTGTAGGTAATGGAAATACAATCAATAAAAATAGAATATGAAAGTTACAAAGAGCAAGTAATGAGTACAGAGTAAAAACGTTATCTGAGAATAGCATCTGTTTTCCTAATATACTAGATATTCAAGTATCTTTTGCAGAGCAAGCAACAAAATGAACTTTTAAATCTAGAGATGTCTAAGAGAGAAATCCCTAAATGCAATCCTTGTAATCCCTATTATAAGAAATGAACTTAGTACTTATTCATAGCTGTAACAATAGATTCTTCCCTTTGTATATTTTATTAGTGACAACCATGAAGACAAACCCTTTCAATATTTATGTAGGAGAAACTGCTCCACTTTTCATATGCTTCTGTGACCATACTTTCCAGGGTACAATACACAACAGTGGAACACATCACATCATTAACAGCTACAGCGTCTCTCTACTTGCTTGTGTAAATTTCCCAGAGTCAAATTTTTAAAGTGAAATAAGAAAAATAGAAAGGCAGCATGTTCCAGAGTATTGTCCTTTTCACAGAGTGCTGATATACAAATTAACTTTACAATTGGCCAGGTGAAAGACACAAGTATAATAAAGAATATCTGGTTTTTGTCCATGGTTCTCAGAAAAGCTTCAAAAACCCTTGGGATTTCCTGATTGAGAGGAGTCTTTGGTATGCTGTTGAGGTGACACATTCTGGGCCTTCAGATAGGGTCACCAAAAAGACTCATCATTTGATTATAGGGTTGAAATTTGGGGTAAGATCAACTTCCCACGAGGGAAGACTGGAGACTGAGCTCAACCACAAGGTCAATGACATAATCAATCATGCTTAGCAATGAAACCCCATATACAAACTTTGGACATCAAAGTTCAGCAGAACTTTCTAGTTGGTGAATAAATCGATGTGTTGAGAGTGTGATATGCCAGGATTCCACACTGAGGGAACCCTTCCTCTCCCTCCAGACATTGGTCTATGTATGTCTCCCATTTGGCTGTTCCTGAATTGTATCCTTTATAATAAAAGTGTAACCAGAAGAACAGCACTTTCAGTGAGCTACTATGTAAGTTGTTTTAGTGAATTATTGACCCTAAAGGGGTTGTGGGAAACCCTGAATTTATAGATGGCCAAGCAGATGTGTGGGCAGACTGGAGAACCCTCCTTGCAGCAGGTGTCTGGAGTAAGGGCAGTCTTGCTGGGGATCTTGCCCTTTAATTTGTGCAATCTGATGCTACGTCTGGAATTGAACTGAGTTGAACTGACCTGTGGGACACCAAAATGGTGTCAGAGAACTGGTCTCAAAACACAGACACAAAAGGTACAAGTGACAAAAGAAAAAATATTTAAACAGTACTTCATCAAAATTTAAAAGTTGTGCTTTGAGGACACCACCAAGGAAGTGAAAAGACATCCATGGAATGGGAGAAAATACATGCAAATTATATATAAGGAACTCTTATCTAGAATACATAAAGAACTCAGAGCTCAATAATAAAATGATAAATAGCCCAATAAAAAAATTGACAAAGGATCTGAAGAGGCACTTCTTCAAAGAAGATATACAAGTGGCCAATAAACACATTAAAAGATGCTGAATATCATAAGTCATCAAGGAAATCAAAACTGCAAGGAGATACCACTTCACAACCACTAGGACATCTATAATCAAAATGACAACAATACTAAGTGCTGGTGAGGATTTGGAGAAATTAGAAACCTCCTACCTCGCTAGTGGAATGCAAAAATGAGGGCTCATATGCTAACACTACATTAAACCATTTGAGGAAAACTTCCAGACTGTTCTCCAACACATTACGGGCTTTCTTTTTGTGGTGATAAAAATGCCCTGAAATTAGATACTGGTGATGGTTACACAGCTGGTGTGCATTATACTTGAAACCACCAAATTGGATTCTTTAAAATATCAAATTTCATTATATGTGAATATACTTGGTAAGTTAAATAAGTAAGCATTTTAATGATATTAAATACTACAGTTTATATATATTTTTCTTTAGAAGGCAATTTAAGATACACACATATACAGAATCTTACTTTCTTTCCCCAACTGCCATCATCTTTCTCCCTCAAAGCTTAAGCTATGTTGTGGCTTTAGAAGGCAGCTGGGCAGAGACTGAGGTCAGAGCCCAGACATCAGTTAATCTACTTCTCAATAATGAAGTGTTATAAATCCAGGTTAACAAAATAAAGATAGTTAATTCTTCTTTGAGTTGACCTGACCTCTCCTGGACTCTTAAGGCATACCATTCCAAAGAATTGAATACAGCTAAAATATTATACTTCTACAAATTGAAATTTTGGGAAGAAATTAAACGGATCACAATATTATTAAAAGCATGGCCACAATTTGAAATTGGTGTTGTGTCTTTCTGTTAATATTGAATGCCAAGATCAGAGAATACTAGTAATATGCAATACGCAGTAGTGCTTTTTTATAAACCAGGACATGTATAGTACATTTTAACAGTACTAATATTGTTATTTCTAATATTCCTACAGTTTTCTTGAATGTGTGCATATGAAAATCTTTCCAAAATCTCTTGATCAGTTGTTACTTGAAAATGCTAACTTGCATCACAAGAGGCCAAAGGAGTTTGTAGCTTATTCCCTTTTAAATGAAGTCAAAACTGACTTAAACCTATGAGATCATGCAATATAGTTTAAAACAAACAATACTGCAAAAACTGGCACCACAAATGCAAATAACTTATCGTTCAGACTGGTAATGGACATGAGTGGACCAAATATGCATGATTCTATAAAAAGTGGTGAGAAGCTGTGGAAAATATGACAGCATGCCATCCCGAAGGTAGGCACCTTTAACCAGCTGGTTGCCATGTGGTATGGGGCTAGTACAGCCAGATCTCTTATTTCTCAAAGACCTAGAAATCTGGATTTTTATGTGAACTTTTAGAATTAAATGTTAACATTTAAGAAATTTTAACCCCCTTTTCTGATTACTTCTAGGGTATTTCAAGGGCTAAATTTTCAGTTAGGTCTTTCTATAACAAGTTAAATTGGGTAGCAAATATCAGTTCTTATCTTTTTTAAACTTAGCACAGAAAATACTTTCAAGTTCACAGTAATATTACAGATTGAAAAGTACCATAAATAGCTTTGGGCTTTAATGACACTCATTCTAAGCATGGTTCATAAAGAAGTAAGGCTAGACCCCTGTGCCTCACTAACTTTTCCATTTAACAGCATAGATGCTGAACAGAAGCACCCAGCTTGGGGTCTGAATCTCCCAAGAACAAACTCCAAGAAAATTTCAAAAAAAAATTCTGTTTTTAATCAAACACTTGATATAAATATTGGCTTCTAGTCCATAACATAGCCATGCTTGTTTTGATATAAAGCTATTCTGTTGTTTCCCTCAATGAAATTTTCTTGTTTATTTTGTGGCTTTACAGTCCCACGCAAATTGCTCCCTAACTCCACGGGGTCACCTGTTTCAGAAGCAAAGAATTAGAGTATTGTCCATTAAAGCTCCCCGCCCCCCACGCCCACGGACGCCAAAGTCCCTTATTGGAACTCAAGAGCTTTAAGGAGTGATACGCAAATACACTCTTAATTCAATCTTAACACTAGTATTCTACAAGCGCCTGTGAATAGGGAGATTTGATGATTTAGTGAAAATAACCATTTTTGGCTTCATTCACGTAGTTTTAGAACCATTACAAATAATTTTAGATCATTACATGACGCTCTTTCCGCCTCATTTTCCTTCGAGTCCTCGCATATCGCTAACTTGTCGATCATCCCAGGACTACAGGAGAAAGCCCTCTCCTCTCCCTTGCTGCTCCCTCTAAGATAAATTCGCCTTCTGGCTTCTCAGAAAGATCCCTCTTCCCAAACCGCGGGCGCCGGGACACGCCCATGCGCGCGGACACCCGGAGACGGAGGTGGTGTGAAGCCAGGCCTCCGGGCGCGGCCTGCGGGCAGCTGCGCTGGCGCGAGCGGCGCGGTCCGACTCGGGAGGCCCGCCTCGGGGACGTCCCTGCACGACGCCGCTCCCGCAGCCAGCACGGGCGGGGCCAGGGCACGGGGGGCAGAACGACGAGGAGGGGCGCGCCGTCCCGGCCCTCGGCCGCGGGGATAAGGGCTGGAGGGCCTGGAGGCCGGCCCGACCCTGCGCGTCCCCGGGGAGGCGCAGCCTGCACAAAGGGACCCCCCGCCGGGCTCCCGCGATTTCCTCACCTACGCGTAGCGGCCGACCCTCTGGGCCCGCAGCGCCACCGGGGGAAGCCCAGCGCAGCACCACAACACGAGGGTCGGCCTGACGATAGCGCCCACTCCACTCTGCCACCACCGCCGCTGCCGCCGCTGGAGCCTCTGAACTCGATCCCGGGAACGACCCGCCCTTCTCCTCTTGCCCCGCCCCCGCCCGGAACGGGTCCCGGATGTTGCCGCCCCCGCGCGCTGAGTTCCCGCCCTTTCCTCTCAGGCTCCCTCCCCTTCCGAGTTCGCTACGGGGTCTGCGCGGCCTAGGCCGAGTTTCGCTGTCTCCCCGGTGGCTAGAGCGTCGTCCCGCACTCTGTCGCGCTGCCGGTGACGGCGCCCGGAGGCTGTCGGGAAGTAGGCGGGGAGACGTGGGGCCGACGAGCTCGGCGGCGGGGACAGAGGCCAGTGGTCGGGGCCGCTGGTGCGGGGGCGGCTGGAGCGAGAGGTGGAGCGGGGTGGTGTGTGGCCGGGGCCATGACGGGCAATGCCGGGGAGTGGTGCCTCATGGAAAGCGACCCCGGGGTCTTTACCGAGCTCATTAAAGGATTTGGTGAGAGCCAAGGGGACCGTCCGGGGCCGGGGTCACGGGAGGAGGCCCAAGCCGGGCGTCGAGCGGTGCCCCGCGGCCCCGAGACTGAAGGGAGGTGACCTCAGAAGCCTGCAGGGCGAGTGGGAAACACGGAGCTGACGCGCACCCCCACTCCGGGTTGCTGCGTCTCCGCAGTAACTTTGTGCGCATAGCACGAGGGCAGGGAGCATGCCTGTCTTGGGCGCTGTCTTGTCCTTAGGATCCGGCGCTCAGTTACTCGCTCACCTGACTTGAGCGCCCGCTGCCCCAGACCTCTTCGCGCATTTCTTTCCTTGTCCACAGCCGCTTCTCTGCGGAGCGGTCCCAACTCCGGGCAGGTGTGCCCAGGTGCACATCTCAGGCCATCTGACCTGCCGGAGAAGCGAGGGTGTGTGTGTCCTCGAGGCTGCCGTTTCCAAGGCCCAGGCCGCTCAGGACCCCGCGATTCAGATAAGTCCAGAGCAGAACACCTGGAGTGTGCGGCTAGCCCTGAGGAGTCCGCACGCGCGCACTGGTTCTGCTTCCTGCTCAGTTTTGGCATCCCGCTGGTGTGTTTTCTTGAGCTAGTGCTCGAGAGTAGAGGCCACATGCTCATAATGTCTTCATTTCTTAAGAAATTTCGTTTTGACCGTGTTCCTTGCCTTCCATCTTAAATAATCGACTTTTGACTTTTATCTTTCTCTTGTCCCTTTTCTTTCCAAGCTCTTTTTTTTTTGGTATCATTAATCTACAATTACATGAGGAACATTATGTTTACTAGGCTCCCCCCTTCACCAACTCCCCCCAGCAACCCCTATTACAGTCACTGTCCATCAGCTTAGGAAGATGCTGTAGATTCACTACTTGTCTTCTCTGTGTTGCACAGCCTTCTCTGTGCCTCCCCCAACATTATACATGCTAATAGTAATGCTCCTTTTCTCCCCCCAACCCCCTTATCCCTCCCTTCCCACCCATCCTCCCCAGTCCCTTTCCCTTTGGTAACTGTTAGTCCATTCTTGGGTTCTGTGTTTCTGCTGCTGTTTTGTTCCTTCTGTTTTTTCTTAGTTCTTATACTCCACATATAAGTGAAATCATTTGGTACTTAGCTTTCTCCACCTGACTTATTTCTCTGAGCATAATACCCTCTAGCTCCATCCATGTTGTGGCAAATGGTAGGATTTGTTTTCTTCTTATGGCTAAATAATATTCCATTGTGTATATGTACCACATCTTCTTTATCCATTCATCTACTGATGGGCACTTAGGTTGCTTCCAGTTCTTGGGTATTGTAAATAGTGCTGTGATAAACATAGGGGTGCATCTGTAGTTTTCAAACTGGGCTGCTGTATTCTTAGGGTAAATTCCTAGAATCCAAGCTCTTTTAAAAGATTATCTTTTAATTTCCTCAGGTATTACTAATTCTAGCTATTATGTTAAAACTTATACCCGGTATAAACTAAACATTGATATAGATATTATAAATAGTGGAATATTTGGAATATCATCTATCAACCATATATTGTTCACCTCAGGCACACTGGTAGGGTTTGGAAGTTTTTAATGTGAGTAAACCATAACTGCTGTTTCTAAAAAACTGACAAACTGTAATATGTTGTATTAATTTCTATGTTAAAGCATGTACAAAATGTTACAGGAAACAGGTTGTGGAAGATCACAGGCAGAAAGAAGCAGTAGTCATGTAAATGTATATGACTGAAGGAACAGCTAGCAAAGTGACTGAAATACATGGAGTAACAGACTGGAGGGAGCATTTGAACCTGAAGCGGAAAAGATAAATTTAGGCCAGCTTGTCTGCCGTGTTCTATAGTTTGTATTGCCCTGTAGTCAGTCACTGAGGACTTAACTGTCAAAGATATATTAATACTGAAATGACATTTTTATAATTAAAAAAGGTTTACTATGTGTAGTGTTCAGGTTGATTGGAATGAAGTCTCAAAATGATTCGAGTCTGAGATGGTTGACTGGGCAGGAGGAGGAGGTAGATTCAGTAGTTTTGCTATATTTAAATAAACAGGATTGCTGACTGACTGGATGTAAGGAAAAAGGGGTGAAAACGACTCCGTGGGTTCTCTTTTGCGTGGCTGATGAAGTACAAGAGAGGAACAGGCTTGATGGACAAGAAAATGGGTTCAGTTTTGGATATATACTGAATTCTAGATGTCTTTAGGTTTAGCCAGAAAATTTACCTTCAAAACCTTAGCTGTTATGACACATTAAAGTTAACTTGAAGAAATAGAATACTGGTCAAGTTTGTTTATTTTTAAATTAATTTCATTAATAGCTATTGCTTCAATCATATGTGTAGAAAACTCAGAATTGAAAATGACTTAAAAGTCAAGGCTTGAGAGAGTGATAGTAAATGTACTTTCACTTGCATGTATGAAAAGTGAAGCAATAGCTATTAGTGGATTAGCTCCATTTACAGAACTTTGCAAAGAGTTAAATGATAGGTGTATGTCATCAGATGCTTCAGCAAGGAAACACATTTATTCCAATCATTTCCATTTTTTATTCCCTCATCTAATTAATGGATTTGAAAAGGCTTTTTGGAAGTTTATTCTTTCAAAAGTGAAATGTCTCATTGTACTATGAATGTTTTTATTGTAAATTTATAAGAGTTTGTTCTTTGGAGGGGAAGTTATTTGTGAGTTCAGTGAATGTACAAATACAAATTTTGATGAAATGTAACATCAAGGTAGGACAAAGTTCTTATTAAGAGACTGATGGAACAGAACTATACTTTTAATTGGTATGCTGCATACATAATTTATAAATGCACCAAAACAAACTGATAGTCTACCAATTAAAAACAGAAATTGTGAACTTCTACTTTCAGTCAGGATTGAGAAATAGAGACTAGATTAAATTTTCCCAACATATCAATGGCCCCAGCTTTCAGTTTAAGAAACTATAAAAAGAAGAGCAAATTAAAACTAAAGGTAGTGGATGAAAAGTAATAAAGATTGGAGTTCAAATTAATGAAACAAAGTACTAGAGAAGAACAATGACATGAAAAATGGTTTCTCAAAAATCAATAAAATGGATGTCTCTAGTCACACTGATTAGAAAAAAGAGTGGCAACATAAATGACCAATATCAGGAATAAGAGATAATACCACTTCAGATTCTATAGATATTGAAAGGATAAGAAGGGAATATTCTATAAACATTTTTTTTACTGTTCTATGAATTTTTGGGAGTGATATTTATAATTACATATTATTTTTTAAATTAAGGTATCATTGATATACACTCTTATGAAGGTTCCACATGGAAAACATTGCGGTTACGACATTCACCCATATTTTCAAGTTCCCTCACACCCCTTTGCAGGCACAGTCCGTCAGCATAGTAAGATGCCACAGAGTCACTATTTGCCTCCTCTGCTACACTGTCTTCCCCATGAACCTCCACAAACCATGTGTACTACTCATAATACCCCTCAATCCCCTTCTTCCTCCCTACCCACCCACGCTCCCCAACCCCTCCCCTTGGGTAACCGCTAGTCCCTTCTTGGAGTCTCAGTCTGCTGCTCTCTTGTTCCTTCAGTTTTGCTTAGTTATATTCCACAAATGAGGGAAATCATTTGGTACTTGTCTTTCTCTGCCTGGCTTATTTCACCAAGCATGATACCCTCTAGCTTCATCCATGTTGTTCCAAGTGGTAGGATTTATTTTCTTCTTACAGCTGAATAATATTCCATTGTGTATATGTGCCACATCTTTATCGGCTCATCTACTGATGGACGCTTAGGCTGCTTCCATATCTTGGCTATTGTAAATTGTGCTGCGATAAACATAAGGGTGCATATGTCTTTTTGAATCTGGGATGTTTTGTTTGGGTAAATTCCTAAGAGTGGAATTCCCAGGTTAAATGGTATTTCTATTTTTAGTTTTCTGAGGAACCTCCATATTGCTTTCCACAATGGTTGAACTAATTTACATTTCCACCGACAGTGTTTGAGGGTTCCCCTTTCTCTGCATCCTCACCAAAATTTGTTTTTCTTAGTCTTTTTGATACTAGCCATCCTAACTGGTGTAAGGTGATATCTCATTGTGGTTTTTATTTGCATTTCCCTAATAATTAATGATGTGGAGCATCTTTTCATGTACCTGTTGGTCATCTGAATTTCTTCCAAGAATTGTCTGTTTATATCCTCTGCCCATTTTTTAATTAGGTTGTTTGCTTTTTGGGTGTTTAGGCGTGTGAGATATTTTGGATGTTAACCCCTTGATGGATATATCGTTCACAAATATATTCTTCCAAACACTAGGATGCCTTTTTGTTCTACTGATGGTGTGTCCTTTGCTGTACAGAAGCTTTTTAGTTTGATGTAGTCCCATTTGTTCATTTTTGCTTTTGTTTCCCTTGCTCGAGGAGATGTGTTCATGAAAAAGTTGCTCATGTTTATATTCAAGAGATTTTTGCCTATGTTTTCTTCTAAGAGTTTTATGGTTTCATGACTTACATTCAGGTATTTGATCTATTTCAAATTTGCTTTTGTGTATGGAGTTACACAATAATCCAGTTTCATTCTCTTACATGTAGCTGTCTAGTTTTGCCAACACCAGTTGCTGAAGAGGCTGTCATTTCCCCATTGTATATCCATGGCTCTTTTATCATATATTAATTGACCATATATACTTGGGTTTATACTGGTCTCGCAATTCTGTTTCGTTGGTCTATGGGTCTGTTCTTGTGCCAGTACCAAATTGTCCTTATTACTGTGGCTTTGTAGTAGAGCTTGAGGTTGGAAAGCGTAATCCTCCCAGCTTTATTCTTCCTTCTGAGGATTGCTTTGGCTATTTGGGGTCTTTTGTGGCTCCATATGAATTTTAGAACTATTTTTTCTAGTTCATTGAAGAATTCTGTTGGTATTTTGATAGGGATTGCATTAAATTTGTAGATTGCTTTGGTCAGGATGACCATTTTGACAATATTCTTCCTGTCCATGAGCACAGGATGTATTTCCATGTATTGGTGTCTTCTGTAATTTCTCTCATGAGTGTCTTGTAGTTTTTGTGGTATAGGTCTTTCACTTCCTTGGTTAGGTTTATTCCTATGTATTTTATTCTTTTTTATGCAATTTTGAATGGAATTGTTTTCCTGATTTCTCTTTCTGCTAGCTCATCATTAGTATATAGGAATACAACAGATTTCTGTGTATTGATTTTGTATCCTGCAACTTTGCTGAATTCAATTATTAGTTCTAGTAGTTTTGAGGTGAATTCTTTAGGGTTTTTTTATGTACATTATCACGTAACCTGCAAACAATGACAGTTTAACTTCTTCCTTACCAATCTGGATACCTTTTATTTCTTTGTGTTCTTTGATTGCCGTGGGTAGGACCTCGAGAACTATGTTGAATAAAAGTGGCAATAGAGGGCATCCTTATCTTGTTGTTCCTGACCTAAAAGGAAAAGCTTTTAGCTTTTCGCTATCAAATATGGTGTTGGCTGTGGTTTTGTCATATACGGCCTTTATTATTTTGAGGTCTATAAATGTTTTTATGCCAGTAACTTTGACAACTTAGGTGAAATATAGTAATTTCTTTAAAGACACAAATAACCAAAACTTGGAAAGGAAGGAATATTTGCAACTCATTCTTGAAATTCTAGCATTACCCTAACACCAAACCAGACAGAGACCTTACTAGAAAAGAAAACTATGGGCATATATCCATGATCAACATAGGTGCAAAATTCTAAACAAGATTTTAGCAAATCAAATTGAGTAATATTTTAAATGGATAATATATTATGAATGAGTGAGGTTTATCACATGAATTCAAGGTCGCTTTAACATTTGAGTCTCAATGTAATTCACCACATTAAAAACCTAAACAAGAAAAACCATACAATTATGTCAATAGACACATAAGCACTTAACAAAATTCAACATCTGCTGAGAATTCTGAAGTGTTAGATTTTTACCCTGCTTGCCAGCTAACAAGTTATCCTGTGACTATTACAGATGTTGGCAGACAACTACATTAGAGAGAAAGGATTGTATCACTCATGGCACAGTAGGCAGCAGGAAATTCAAGTTTGTGTTGGTTCTCTAGTTCTCCACGTCCATGGGAGTGGAGGTGGACCCAGGTCTGTATCATAACCAAAGAAGTCTGAGCTTAGGGAACTCCCAATTTTATGAAGAGTGTGATAGCAAACCTGCCCTGCCTCACTCCAGGGAGATATTACAGACAGAAAATAGGTCTTCCTACTGTCTCAAAGGGTGACTCTCTACTTTTCAAGTCTGTTTACTATACTAAAATCCTTGAAAAAAAGAGAATGAATCTGCTAATTCCTCTCAGATGACAAGCAGAGATAGGAGAAACCCACTGAGAATGGTCTCTCAATAAAATCCGTCCTTCCTTTCTATATCAATTACACCATTCCCTCTACTGACTAATGTGATTTGAACCACAAGGCTGGTGCTAAATCTGTTTAATTCATTTCTTTTAGTCTTTACATTAGAAAACTAGGTGATTATCCTTTTTGTATTAACCTTTACTCTTCATTTAAGGCATTAATTCAGATACTAGTAGGGGTAGGTTGGTGGTGTGTGTTGGGCAGTGTTAGTGATTGACAAACTTTGCCTAGGCCTACAGGGAGGAAGTCTAGCAGAATTCTGTCATTCACAGCTCTGGCCCATGAGTTGAGACAGATCTGAATAACTTGGGGCCAGTGTGCTATTTCCTTCACACAAAGGTCTTAAGCTTATGAGCACTCCTAAGGTTCATGTCACCTTGTTTTTGAGTAGAGGGCCAAGTTAATGCCTGGCTTTCACATGACAAATAAAAGTATAATTATGAGGGTGTGCTTGCTGCCCTTAGAAGCAAGTATTGCTTATTGTTGAGGCCCTTCCAGAATGGGACCATCTCATGAGGAGCACAGGTTAACAGTGCCTCCAGTTTAGTGCTCACTGTTTATTTCAAATAATTGAGTCTAGTCCTTCTCTTTGAAGAGATTGCCGGAGAGCTGACAACCAGCTTTTGTTATGTGGTCACATCACCAGTTAAATGTTACTTGTCGGTGCCATGAAATGAGTGAGAAAAGGGTTGAGGAACATACCTCAGGCTATTTGTGGTGAGTGGTGCAGAAGCTGGGGCCATGCCTTTTGCTTCTGGCAGACTTTTTGATAAGGTTGGGGAGATGACAATTTGTCAAAAATGTTGCAAGGTATCATACCTAGCAGTCAATAAAATTTAAGGCACTGGCAACAGTTGGGCAAGCCTCAGGGGTATTTTGGGGGGAAGGGAAAAGCTCCAAGTTTATTTTTAAAATTATTTTTGAAATTTGTTTTTGAATAGAATTATATTATAGGGCCACCGTAGTGTGTTAGTCAATACATAAATATTTAAAATACGTATTTTTATTTTAGTGTTCCCTTTCACTTTGGAACAGTGTTCTGTTTTGGATGACAAAGTTTGTGGTTATCCTATATAAGACCCAGTTCAAATATGTCCGAAAGTTCTTCTGATCAGTAGAGATAGTAATGGTATCTCCTACCTCTTAGCTTCCAGAAGGCTCCCCAGTGTACCTTTTATAAACAAATTATGCATGCTATACTGTCTTTGAATTGTATACCCTTATTTCCTACTAGATTGTGAAATTCCTAAGTATTGTGACAGTAGTTTATTATTTTCTGCCTTTGATAGGGCCTAGTCTCATGCATGGCACATAAAAGTTACTTGGTAAATACCATCATTTCATTAACTTTTAAGCCTCTGCACCCAATTTTCTATTTAAAATATTCTTGAGGAGTCTGCATTAAGTCATTCTTTGTGTTTAGTGTTTGATAATGTATACCTCAAAAGAATTGTGTGGATTGGATAAAGCAAGGTAGTATCCTTGTTTTAAACAGGAGGAAAGTGAGGCTCAAAGGCATGTTCTTGCTCAAGGTTAAGAGCTTTCAGGCAGCCTGGGATTAGAACCCATCTCTCTTGAGTCTTTGCTTCTCTTTCTGCATTATTTGAAATTAAATATACATAAGGAGATTATTAGCTATTGAATGTTTACAAGGAGATAAATATTGTTGAGTACTATGTATTCCTTATACAAAGAGATGTGCATGTACTTAACATAAGGTTATTTAAACAGTGTCACCACTTTAAATTCTACCTGTACAAAAGTGGGGCATTTTATTCAGTGGATTTTTCTGTTGTTTTGGTTTTGGTATGTACAATATTTAATGTTTGGCTTTTTTATAATTGATTTCTAATAGTAATCAGTGTTAACAATTGCATTAGTGTCCTTTCATGCCCTTTTCAATAGTGATATAAATACAGGTTCACATTTATAGATTTTATTTTTTTCCCAACTTACTATATATAAATGTCTACTAACCTACTGTTAGATATTCAGGTTGTTTCTAGTTCTTTATTACAAACAGCATAGTAACTCTTCTTGTACATAGTATCTTTAATGCCAGAATGGGCACATAACAGATGTTTTCTGAACAAAGCAAATGAAGTCATAGAATGCTATGAATGCCCAAAGTCACATACTTAGTTGATTCAACTTTTTTGTTTTTTGTTTTTTAAACCACTGTTTTTTTCAGGTGGTCTAAAGGCTTCTCTAGCTCTCACTTGAAAATAATTTAGAATATAATCAGTTAGTGTCTAGACTTTAGAAACATGTGGGTTTTAATTAGTTTTTTGGCATATACTAGCCATAGTAAATTTAGGCAAGTCACTTAACATCCCTAAACCTCTTCTGTGTAATACTTGTCTAGCAGTGATTAGAGAAAATCCATTTAAAGCACTTGACACAAAAAAGGCACTGGTGAATATGGCTGTCTTTTGTGTTGTGGTAATAATACTGCTAATACTTAGTGAACACTTAGTGTGCCAGACACCCTATTAAATGTATCTCCTGTATAATAAGTTATTTTATTAGATGACAAATTATCTCTTTTATTGCTTACAACTCAATGAGTATGGGGAATTGAAAGGTTAAATGGCTTGTAGAGCTAGCAAATGGAGTAGCCAGGATTCAAACCCTGGCAGTTTGGAAGCCAGTTTTATGCTACATATTAGAGCAAGATTTCTCAACTTTAGTACTGTTGGCAGTTTGGGCCAGATAATTTTTTGTTGGTGATGGCTGTTCTTTGCAATGTGGACAATGTGGATGTTTAGCATCTCTGGCCTCTACCCCTAGATGTCAACCCCCCGCAGGTGACAGTAGTTACAGTAAAATAGTCTCTGGACATTGTGTAATATCCTCTGGGGGGCAAAAACCATCACCCTGGCCGAGACCCATTATCATAGAGGAAGAGCATGTTTGGGGAAATATGAAGTAGTTGAAAATAAAATGAAATAAAAAAAATAAAGACAATATAGAATTGGGATTTAAGAAAAGGGTCAAAGGTAAATATGTGATATGAATGTTACTAAGTGGTAGTTATTTATTGTTACTGAAGGAAGTGTACAGTAAGAAAAAAAGAGGGCCAAGGTCAGCAGTTGAATGAAAAGAGTGGATGAAGAACAGCTAGAGATTTGACAGACACTGAGAAGTCTTGGGATGGTGTTTCAGTGGAAATAAACTCTTGAAATTTCTAGAAGTTATAAAATTAATATATTCCCTTTATAAATAATTAGGAAATAGTAAAGGAAGTTAAAGAATTTGGCTGTAAGTTTTATCAGTTTTACCATTTGTCATGTCTCATTGTCCCCAAATGTGCATTTCATTTAGTCAATATTTAATGGGGAAGGAAAAACATGAAATATTTCATTTTCTGAAGAAATAATTGCTTATTTCAGGTTGCCGAGGAGCCCAAGTAGAAGAAATTTGGAGTTTAGAGCCTGAGAATTTTGAAAAATTGAAGTAAGTATAATGTAGCTGTGTTAAAAATGTATCTATACTTAAGCAAACTTTATTTTACTTGAACTACTTTTAGACTGAAAACATTAACTACTTTAAGTCTTTTTTTAATCCTGTGAGATAAGTATTATTATATGCATTTTATAACCAGGAACCTGAGGCTCATAGCTAAGTAACTTGCAAGGTATTAAAAACTAAATCTTTGTAATTTCGTATCAACAAAATACTGATTTTTTACAACATTATTTGTAGAGCAATAGGTTTAGAACATATTTTAACATAAAAAACCTGAATAATAGGTCAGTCTACAAAAGCGCATTTAATAGATAATGTATATTAATAGTAATTCAGAGCTTCTCTGTACATTGCTTCTTGGGGAGGTTATAGTTCAGATTACAAGGTAGATGCCAGGAGGTACTTTATTCCTCCATCATTCTGATTAGAATCCCTTCTCTAAGATTCTCCTATCCCCAGCCTGCAGCCATCAAGCACCAAACACTGGCCTTAGATTGCAGATGGTGGGCTAGAGGAGTTCTCACCGGGAAGTTCCTGGAATGGGGACAAGGAATAGGCTATTAAAAGGGAAAATGGGGACAATGCTGAAAGATGGTGGCATGAGAGGTGAGACAGAGAACTCCTCCTAAAATCACATATAATATGAAAATGTAGTCAATACAACTAATCCTAATAGAGCAACAGGAAATAAGGCTGTGCTGGACTACATACACCTGGAAAATAGAGCAGACCTCATGAAATAGGGTAACGTACCAAAGCCTGATCCAGCGGGACCCAAGCGTTACCCCACCCCAGCACACTGGCAGGAGGAAGAGAAATGGAGCAGGGAGTGAGTGGAAGCTTAGGACTGCTGAACACCCAGGTCTGGTGATTTCAGCCATTTGTTGAGGACAAGGATCCACAAGTGACTGCTCTGGGACAAACAAAAGGCGGGCTGTATGAGAGGCTTTCTAGAAGCTAGAGGACTACTGAAGGGGTGGGAATTGCATGGAGCTTGCTGCTCGGGAGAAGGTATAGGTGGACAAGGTTGTCTGGGTGTGCTCTGCCCAGCAGGTTGGGAACATTGAGGACTTTCAGATGCTCCATCCCCCTGGCTGGCTACTCAGCTCCAAGGCCCCCCACTATGATATGCAGCCTGCTGAACTTTCCTCCTGGCCTTGAAGCACTGGCTCACAAAGAGGCAGTCCCTGTCCTGGCATCAGGCCAGCAAGAGGGAGGCCCTGCCTATGGCAGCTACAAATGCAAAACACAGAAGCTTACACCTGTGTACTTGACCCACTGGTTCTGAAAGTGGATAAAGGCACTACAGCTGGGAAGCAGGAAACATCTCTCCCCCCAGGCACACCCCTCCCCTGTGACTCCTGACATCACTCTAGGGGCTGAGCAGCTCCAGAGAATAGAGCTTCTGGGCACTAGAGGGTGCCACATACAAATAATGAAACTTCAAAGAAACCTGGTTCAAACCAAAATCTCACAAACACCAGAAAGGGGGCCAAGTGAAACTGAACTTACCAATCTTCTTGAAAGAGAGTTCAAAATAAAAATCATAAATATGCTCATGGAGGTACAGAAAAATATTCAATAATTCAGGGACTAATTTAGGATGGAAATTCAATCATTAAGAAATTACATATATGAAATGAAACATAAAATGTAGGGATTTAAAGCAGATTAGATGTAGTAGGAGAGAAGGTAAATGGAATAGAAATTAGAGAAGAGGAATACAAAGAAGCTGAGGCACACAGAGAAAAAAGGATCTCGAGGAATGAAAGAATATTGAGAGAACTGTGTGACCAACCCAAATGGAAAAATATACTCATTATATGAGTACCAGAAGAAAAAGAGAGAAAAAGAAATAGGAAGTGTCTTTGAGGAGGTAATCACTGAAAACTTCCCCAATCTAGGGAAGGAGATAGTCTCTCAGGCCATGGAGGTACACAGATCTCCCAACACAAGGGACCCAAGGAAGACAACCACAAGACATATAATAACTAAAATGGCAAAGATCAAGGATAAGGACAGACATTTAAAAGCAGCTAGAGAGGAAAAAAAGATCACATTCAAAGGAAAATCCATCAGGCTATCATCAGATTCTCAACAGAAACCTTACAGACCAGAAGGGAGTGGCATAATATATTTAATGCAATGAAATAGAAGGGTCTCGAACCAAGAATACTCTAGTTGGCAACATTATCATTAAATTTGGAAGGAGGAATTAAACAATTCAGATAAGCAAAAGCTGAGAGAATTTACCTCCCACATATTGCCTCTACAGTGAATTTTGGAGGGACTGCTATAGATGGAAGTCTTCCTAAGGCTAAATAGCTGTCAGCAGGGGAAATAAAACCACAGTAAAGAAAGAAGACAATTAATTACTAAGCAGATACAAAATCAAATCAACTACCCCCAAAGTCAATCAAGGGATAGACAAAGAGTACAGAATATGATACCTAATATATAAAGAATGGAAGAAAGAAAACCCTTTAGATTGTGTTTGTAATAGCATACTGAGTGAGTTAAATTAGACTGTTAGATGGTAAGGGAATTACCCTTGATCCTTTGGTAACCACGAATCTAAAGACTACGATGGCAATAAGTACATACCTATCGATAATCATCCTAAATGCAAAGGGTCTGAATGTACCGATCAAAAGACATGAGGTCACTGAATAGTTAAAAAAACAAGACCTGTCTACATGGTGCCTAGAAGAGACTCACTTCAAACCCAAAGAAATACACAGACTGAAAGTAAAGGGCTGGAAAAAAGATATTTCATGCAACTAATAGAAAAAAGCAGAAGTTGCAGTACTTGTATCAGATAAAATAGACTTGAAAACAAAGAAAGTCACAAGAGTCAAAGAAGGACATTACATAATGATAAAGGGGTCAGTCCAACAAGAGGATATAACCATTATAAATATCTATGCACCCAACACAGGACCACCTGCATATGTGAAACAAATACTAACAAAGGGGTAAATAGAATGCAATGCATTCATTTAGGAGACTTCAACACACTACTCACTCTGAAGGACAGTCAATCAGACAGAAAATAAGTAAAGAGACAGAGGCATTGAACAACTTACTAAAACAGATGGACTTACTGGACATCTACAGAACACTCCATCCAAAAGCAACAGGATACACATACTTCTCAAGTGCACATGGAACATTTTCAAGAATAGATCATATACTAAACCATAAAAAGAGCCTCAGTAAATTAAAAAAGATTGAAATTGTACCAACCAGCTTCTCAGACCACAAAGGTATGAAACTAGAAATAAATTACACAAAGAAGATGAAAAAGCCCACAAACACCTGGAGGCTTAACAAAATACTCCTAAATAACCAGTGGATCAATGACCAAATAAAACAGATCAAGAAATTTAGGGAGACAAATGATGACAGTAATTCAACACCGCAAAATCTGTGGGATGCTAAGGCCATGCTAAGATGGAAGTATATTGCAGTAAAGACCTACCTCAGGAAAGAAGAACAATCCCATATGAACAGTCTAAACTAACAATTAACGAAGCGAGAAAAGAACAAATGAGGCCCAATGTAAGTAGGAGTGACGTTAAAATTTAGAGAAGAAATAAAATAGAGAAGTATAAAACAATAGAAAGAATCAGTGAAAGCAGGAGCTGGTTCTTTGAGAAAATAAACAAAATAGATAAACCCATAGCCAGACTTAGCAAAACAAAAGAGAGTCTACACACACATCAACAGAATCAGAAATGAGAAAGGAAAAATCATTACAGACACTGCAGAAATACAAAGAATTCTGAGAGAATACAATGAAAAATTATATGCTAACAAACTGGATAACCTAGAAGAAATGGACACTTTTCTAGAAAAATATAACCTTCCAAGGCTGACCCAGGAAGAAATGGAAAATCTGAACAATTAGCAGCAATTAAATTGGTTAATCAAAAAGCTACCTAAGAATAAAACCCCTAGACCAGATGGCTTCACTGCTGAATTTTATCAAACATTTAGTGAAGACCTAATATTCATCCTTCTTATGTTTTCCAAAAAATAGAAGAGGGAATACTACCAAACTCATTCTCCAAGGCCAGCATCACTCTAATACCAAAACCAGGTAAAGCCACCATAAAAAAAGAAAATTACAGACCAATATCTCAGATGAATATAGATACAAAAATATTCTACAAAATATTAACAAACCAAATTCAAAAATACATATAAAAGATCATCCATCATGATTAAGTAGGATTTATTCCAGGGATGCAAGGGTGGTACAACATTTCAAAAGTCCATCAACATCATCCACCATGTCAACAAATAGAAGGACAAAAACCACATGATCATCTCCATAGATGCTGAAAAAGCATTCGACAAAATTCAACATCCATTCATGACAAAAACTCTCAACAAAATGGGTATAGAGAGCAAGTACCTCACCATAATAAAGGCCATATATGACAGACCCACAGCCAATATCATACTTAACATTGAGAAACAAAGCTTTTCCTTTAAGATTGGGAATAAGACAAGGATGCGCACTCTCCCTACTTTTATTCAGCATAGTTCTGGAGGTCCTCGCCACAGCAATCATACAGCACAAATATATAAAAGGCATCCAGATTGGTAAGAAAGAAGTTAAACTGTCACTGTTTGCAGATGACATGATATTGTACATAATAAACCCTAAAGAATCCACTCCCAAACTACTAGATCTACTATCTGAACTCAGCAAAGTTGCAGGATGCAAAATTAATACATATAAATCTGTGGCATTCCTATACACTAACAATGAACTAGCAGAAAGAGAAATCAGGAAAACAATTTCATTCACAATTGCATCAAAAAGAATAAAGTACCTAGGAATAAACCTAATCAAGGAAGTAAAAGACGTACTGTAGAAACTACAAGGTACTCATGAGAGAAATTAAAGAAGGTACAAATAAATGGAAATACATCCTGTGCTCATGGATAGGAACAATTAATATTGTCAAAATGGCTATCCTACCTAAAGCAATCTACAGATTCAGTGCAATCCCTATCTTCAACAAAGTAGGGCAAATAGTTCTAAAATTCATGTGAAACCACAAAAGACCCCAAATAGCCAAAGCAATCCTGAGAAGGAAGAATAAAGCTGGGGGGATTACACTCCCTGACTTCAAACTCTACTACAAAGCCACAGTAATCAAGACAATTTGGTACTGGTACAATAACAGACTTATAGATCAATGGAGCAGACTTGAGAGCCTAGATATTAACCCAAGCATATATGGTCAATTAATATATGATAAAAGAGCCATGGATATACAATGGGGAAATAACAGCTTCATCAACAGCTGGTGTTGGCAAAAATGGACAACTACATGCAAGAGAATGAAACTGGATTATTGCCTTTCTCCATACACTAAAGTAATCTCGAAATAGATCAAAGACCTGAATGTAAGTCATGAAACCATAAAACTCTTAGAAGACAACATAGGCAAAAATCTCCTAAATATAAACATGAGCAACTTTTTCCTGAACGCGTCTCCTTGAGTGAGGGAAACAAAAGCAAAAATGAACACATGGGACTACATCAGACCAGAAAGCTTCTGTACAGCAAAGGACACCATCAACAGAACAAAAAGGCATCCTATAGTATGGGAGAATATATTTGTAAACAACATAGGGGTTAACGATAAGGGGTTAACATATAAGATATATAATGAACTCACATGCCTCAATACCTAAAAAGCAAATAACCCAATTAGAAATGGTCAGAGGATAGAAGAGACAGTTCTACAAAGTAGAAATTCAGATGGCCCACAGGCACATGAAAAGATGCTCCACATCACTAATTATAAGGGAAATGCAAATAAAAACCACAATGAGATATCACCTCACACCAGTTAGATTGGCCAGTATCGAAAAGACTAAGAACAACAAATGCTGGCGAAGATGCGGAGAAAGGGGATCCCTTCCCCACTGCTGGTGGGAATGTAAGGTAGTTCAACCATTGTGGAAATCAATATGGAGTTTCTTCAAAAAACTGAAAATAGAGGTACCATTTGACCCAGGAATTCCACTCTTAGGCATTTACCCAAAGAATATAATTTCTCAGATTCAAAAAGACATATGCACCCCTATGTTTATTGCAGCACTATTTACAGTAGCAAGATATGGAGGCAACCTAATTATCCATCAGTAGATGAATGGGTAAAGAAGAGGTGGTACATTTACACAATGGAATATTATTCAGCCATAAGAAAGAAAAAATCATACCATTTGCACCAACATGGATGGAGCTGGAAGATATTATGCTCAGTGAAATATGCCAGGTGGAGAAAAACAAGTACCAAATGATTTCCCTCATTTGTTGAGTATAACAACAAAGCAAAACTGAAAAACCAAAATAGCAGCAGACTCAGAGACTGCAAGAAGGGACTAGCAGTTACCAAACAGGAGGGGTATTTTTGGTCGTGTGGGGAGGGAGGGATAAGGGGATTGAGGTGAATTATAATTGGCATACATGGTGTGGGGGGGGTCATGGGGAAGACAGTGTAGCACAGAGAAGACAAGTGACTCTGGCATTTTATACACTGATGGACAGTGACTGCAATGGACTGTGTGGGGGGACTTGATAATATGGGTGAATGTAGTAACCACATTGTTTTTTCATGTGAAAACTTCATAAGAGTGTATATCAATAATACCTTAATAAAAAAAGCCTCTATAACATTCAATAACATGATTATTATTTAAAAAAACGAAGATATCATTTTAGGACTCAAAACAATTTCTGAAAAACATACTGGGGTTTTCTTTCCGAATATCCCTGTTCTTTGTGTAGAAAATTCAAAATCATCGGGAGTTAATCACTATTAACCCCTGTCTACACAATTGTCCAGTATTTTAACCAGATGTAGTCTGTTTCAAATTCTTTTCAAAATTTGACCTATTCTATTCATAGTACTTTTTAAACCGCATATTTCTATTTCAGCATGTATCTTGTTCTCTTATGTGACATACTCTTGGAAAGCACTTTAAATAATGAAAACAAAGATTCATGTAAAAAAAAAGTCGAAGTATATGAAGGAGTATGAAATAAAAACTGCATTGCCTTAAAAAAAAATGGCCATTCTGCCTAAAGCAATCTACAGATTCAATGCAATCCTTATCAAAATACCAACAACATTGTTCAACAAACTAAAGCAAATAGTTCTAAAATTCATATGGAACCACAAAGACCCCAAATAGCCAAAGCAAGCCTGAGAAGGAAGAATACAGTAGGGGGCAGGGGGATTATACTCCTCAACTTCAAACTCTATTACAAAGTTATGTTAGTCAAGATAATTTGGTACTGGCACAAGAACAGACCCATAGACCAATGGAACAGACTAGAGAGCCCAGATATCAACCCAAGTGTATGGTCAGTTAATATACAATAAAGGAGCCATGGATATTATGCTCAGTGACATAAGTCAGGCAGAGAAAGACAAATACCAAATGATTTCCCTCATTTGTGGAGTATAACAACGAAGCAAAACTGAAGGAACAAAATAGTAGCAGACTCACAGACTCCAAGAAGGGACTAGTAGTTACCAAAGGGGAGGGGTGAGGGAGGGCTGGTGAGGAGGGAGGGAGAAGGGGAGTGTAGGGTATCATGATTGGTGCCCATGGTGTGTGTGGGGTCACCGGGAAGATAGCTCAGAGAAGACAAATAGGAACTCTGGCATCTTACAGCACTGATGGACAGTGACTGCAAGGGGATATGGGGAGGGATTTGATAATAAGGGTGAATGTAATACATTGATTTTCTTGTGAAACCTTCATAAGAGTGTATATCAGTGATATCTTAATAAAAAAAGGGGGGGCAAATGGGACCTGTAAGGATATGGCTACTGTGTTTAATAGGAAGGAGATAGTTTGCTTCCCCTTACTTCCCCTTGTCCACAAAAAGTACCTTCGTTCAGACCGGATAAGAGGTCAGTTCTTTTTAACCTATCAGGAAAGCTTAATTAAAGATGCATCATTTATTTGAACTATCTTTAAAAGATAAGATTTTTGTTGCACAGACAGCAGTTGTGAAAGATACATTGGAGAGAATCCCAAAGTGACAATTTAATTTTTCATGAGGAACAAGTTACTTTTGAAAAGTAAATGACTTCCTTATGTATGAGATTATAGCATCCATTTATATTGTAGTTTGACATTTGTTCATGAACCTAACAATTATATGAAGGTGACTTCCTATATTTCATAATATTTATACTATCAACCAGGATGTAACATGTAAACATCCTAAATGAATTTTATTCATATGTATTGAAATTTAATTAGGGTTAGCTTCTTCTATTTTTCTGTGTTCTTATTTTCTATTTTTAAGTGAGGTGATAAAAGGTAGAAATGAATAACCCACAGATTTGAGAATAAACTTTTTGTCTTAATTCTGTTTTAACTGATGGAATTTAAGTTTTATTAGCTTTGTCTTGGGCAACGTTCTAGGGACTATGAATAGCAATAGAAATCTTTTTAAAATGTCTTATATTTACTTCATTTGCATTGTATATATCAAGGAGATGACTAAAATTTAACACATTAGTAGTGTGTTATGAAAGAAGCAAGGGTTGGTGTCACTAATTTGTATTTTATTTTGTAGGCCAGTTCATGGATTAATTTTTCTTTTCAAGTGGCAGCCAGGAGAAGAACCAGCAGGCTCTGTGGTTCAGGACTCCAGACTTGACACGATATTTTTTGCCAAGCAGGTATGGTCTGTGGGTACTCTGAAGTCTTGAGAGCAATCCTCTTCATAAACAGGACTGTATTCCACCTATCTGTAGTGTAGCAGTCCTTGAACTTTTTTTTTGTCTTAGGACTCTGAAATTCTTAAAAATTATTGAGATCCCCAAAGAGCTTCTATTTATATGGGTTATACCTATTGGTATTTATCATCTTAGATATTAAGACAGATATGTAAAAAATACTTACTGATTTAAAAAGCAGTAAATTCATTACATGTTAACAAATATTTCTTAATGAAAAAATTATATTCACCAAAACCCCGCAAAATTTCAAGAGTGCATTGTTTTACATTTGTGCACATATGATACTGCTTAATAATAGATGCTGAATTCTCATATCTGCTTCTTTATTCCATCTTGTTGCAGTGTTTTTGATATTGATTTGTTTTGTTTTGAATTGAAGTATAAAGAAAATTTAGTCTCACACATATGTATACTTGGAAAGGGAGGAATATTTTAATATCTTTTTCAGGGAATTATGGATATTGTTTTATATATCAAACTCCAATAATATTGCCTTATTAAAAGTTAGTTGCCATGTGAAATCTGAAACCGTATCAATTCACTTTGTACTTTGTTCCATTAAAATCCTTTGGTTTATCTTGCTCTTTGAATGGATAATTTACTCATAAGGCTTCTGATAATATTGTGAATTAGTCATTTTGAAAATTCACTATGTCATGCAGATCTTCTGAATGTGAACACATTGGATATATATACATTATAAACAAGTCATGTTACTACCGCCATCTGTATCATCAAAAGTTGTTAAGTATCATGAAACTTTAAAACTCATAGTGGAGGATCGGAGTCCTAACAAAACTTGGATTTTCACTTGAAAGTTCACATTTTATGAGGTGTTTTCCTTGAAGTGACAGACTCATTTCACTAATTTTCAAGAAAGTGTCTTGAAATACCCTTGTCTGAACAACCATATTTCTCTGCTGTTTGTTCTGTGAAGTAAAAGTGATATTCCAAGAAAAAAGCAGGCAACTTAACTCACAACTCAAATGACTGCAATAGAGCTTTTCCTTGAAATGACTAGCAAATTTTGTTTTTGCAGCAGAAGAATGTTATTTATTTCATTCAGTAGAATATTAAAGAGTTGTGTTTCAAGGTCAAATTTTAATAAAAATAACTTTTACTGCTTACCACAGACATCCTTCAGTAAAACTGTCTTTTTTGTTTTGTTGAATTTTTTTTTTTTTAGCTATGTGTGTATGTCAGTGAAACAATTTAATGCCACTGCCTAGATTTGTGCTAAAGTTCTGGCAGTTTTACCCACCATTGCTGTTGTACTGTTAACGCACATGTGGAAGCAGGGAAAAAGGCATAAACTGTCTTGGAATTATTATGGAAACAATTTTGAGCTTTCAGACCCCTTGAAATGGTATTAGGAATTCCCAGCAGTCTATGGACCACACATTGTGAACTGCTGCTCTAATATACAACAAAACATTTAACATTATTAGATGTCTCTGTGTATCTGGCTAATTGTTTAGAAGGGCTGATAAAGAGGATGATAAAAGAGGCTTGATTAACATTTAATGTCAAAACTGTATATGACTGCATTTGTTTCAAAAATGCACTTATTTCTGAGACTCAAAAAACTGCTTAGGCTAATATACTTAGCCTTTAGAAAGATGAAAAAATAAAACTGCTTATTTTTGTCATTGCCCTTTCAATCAAGCCTTTGCTATTCCACTTAGTAACTTGCTTTCCCTTTCTCTCTTGTTTTATTACTTCTTTCCATTTCCCTCCAACTTTTAAAAATTGAGTGTTTTTAGAGAAAGGAGAACTTTCTTGCTTTTACTTTAAGGGTTAGAAAAACATTATTTTATTGTGTAGTGTCATTTTTTTCTGATAGCAGAATGCAAATTAGACAAATATATAGTGAGAAAAGTGGATATCCTTGTAATCCCACACCCATCTCTACTAATCACTTTTAACAGTTTGAGTCATTCAGTTAATCAAAAAGTAGTTATTACACACCCATGTTGTGCTATGCATTGTTTTAGGTATGGGGGTATATGGTTAACAAGACAGGCATGTCTCTTCTAATTAATAACAACTGTAAGTTGATAATACCAGTAGTAGCCAATATTTCCCATTTTTGTGTGCCAGGTATTGTTCTTTGCTTATATTATTTAATCCTGACAGCAACCCTATGAGATTGTTATGCTCATTTCACAGATGAAGAAACTGAGACCTGGAAAAAATTATTTGCCTGAGGTCACCAGCTAATATGTGGTGGACCCAGGATTTAAAGCCAGATCTAAAGCCCAGGTTTGTGATTCCACATTCCATCCTACCTCCCACATTTTATATTCATATGCTAATATACCTTACTATAATTTTCTTTACTAAGGTTAGATTATTCAAAATATTGTACATCTTTTTTCATTAAGTGATAAAAGTTTGACTTTGTCTCATTTCAGTACATAAGACAGTATTAGCTGACATTTATTGAAGACTTATTAGGTACTTTTCTATACATTATTTTTTATTATTTATTTATTTGTAGTAGCTGATGCTCACAACCCTATGTGGTTTTACAGGTTCCTCATCATTTGACAGATGTGCAGACTGAGCCCCAGAGAGGTCATAAAACTTGCCCATGTCATGCAGAACTAGAGAACAAACCAGGCATTGTAGCTCTGAAGTTATGCTTACAACTATATCACAGCACCGTTTCTTTTAAAACTTTTATTGATATAAACATCTTATCATTTATTTAACTGATCTCTTAATGATCAACATTTGAGTGTCTAATTTCATACAAGTCATTCATTTATATATTGGAATGATTGTGTATTTAATGTCATTTTACTATAGTAGTTATAATTTTAAAAGTATAGTTTTGTGATTATCAAGATCTAGGTAGTAGAGAAAAGGTAGGGGACAGATAGTTTTAAAAACCCCTTACATGATTTTTCTTCCTTTAAAAGAAAGTTTTTGTTATTTTTTAAGGTATGGAAGAACATATACTCATAATATAAAATGTAAGCATTATAAATATATGATATAGAAAATAAAGTCCCTTATAATCCTGGCTACAGAGATAACTGCTCAAGATGATTTACATTCTTCCAGATTTTTCTGTGTGTGTATATATGTATATTATATTTCTTCCACACAAAACTGTAAACCCTGGAGTCAGGGATTTTGTTTTTATGTACTGTCCCTGGCACATAGTAGGTATCCAATAAATGTAGATCAACGTCTTCATCTCTAAGAATATTACAGTTAAACAACACTAGAATTCACTAACACTAAGATACTAATGGTGTATAATTTTTGGAATCCCTTGATATTTTTCTTGTTCTATATTATATTTCTATCTTATTATAACTTAATGCTTTATTTGTATTATATTATTCCTGCCATATTTATTAATATGTCAGATTAGTGATTTCCCAATACTGTATTTTTTGTGCTATATTATGCCAATAGTTCTTATTAAACTAACAGATCTGTAATTCCCCAATAATACCTACCAGTCTTTTTAGTGTATGTCTCTCAGGAGCCTATGCTAGAAACTTTATAGTAGATATTACATTAATATATTATCTTTGTTTCAAGGCTTAAAGAGCTTATAGTAATAATTTCCAGTCAGGGTCTCTGGACTCTTAGGAGTATTTTCAGATTAAATTTTAAAAAATTAACTAAAATCATATTTATTTGTGATAAGGTTATACAGATTAACTATATAGTTGGTATTTATGGGTAAAATTGCACAATTTATAGAGGTAATACTGGTTTTCTTATGGTAATCATATACTCTAATTGGAGGTGTGGGTTTGTGTGGGTCATACTGATTAATAAAATATTAAGAAAAGAAATTGTCTTTTATTAATTAAAATTTGTGTATAAGGATCCAAGAATGAGATTTTGGTAATTTTTCTCTGTAAAGAATTGTTACCATTTCATTGATGAGAAAGTGAAGGTCTGACTAACTTGCTTAAGATCCTTGCTATGGTGGTATTGTGTTTAACTCCATCAGGGAAGAATGGTTGAGTGCCTACAATGTGCCCACATACTATGCTAGGTGCTCGAGGAATGACTGATCCCTGCCCTCAAGGGTGCTCAGGGTTTAGTGGAGCAGATTGGTATTAATCAGCAAAATGCAAAATTACTGTGGTGATAAGTGCTGCATGGAGTGAAATGAGAACCATATTGTGAAGTTTGAAAACAGTCTATATGACTGCCCTCACGTTGCACACCAACTACAGAGGTCAGGGTCTCCAAAACCACTCTCACTTTTGACAGTTACAAATTTGGGGGAGTTCCAATACCATGCACAGTTTCTGTAATTTGCTATGAAAACTTATAGACTTGACCAAAAACTGTTAGAGTTATGGTTTATTACAGTGAAAGGGTACAGATTAAATTCATCCAAGGGAAAAGATGCATGGGGCAGAGTCCAGGAGAATTCCATGTGCAGAGCTTCCAAATGTCTTCTCTCAGGAGAGGCACAGATGACACTAACTTTCCTGGCAGTGATGTTTGACAGCATGCACAGAGTACTGCCATCCAGGGAATCTCAACCAATTCTTGGTATCCAGAATTTTTACTGGGCATCTGTCCTGTAGACTTGGATGACCATGTTGTGACTGGCCTCAGTCTCCAGTCACTAGGGAGGCTGAGCTGATAATGTTGACCCAAAAGCCCACTCTCAGTTACAGAGTTAGACTGTGTGTGTGGTCTAAAGCCTCCAAGCAAGTAAAGACGGTCTTCAGATAAGTGGCTTTTCAAGAGCTTAGAGATCAACCTCCATGAGCCGAGGGCAAGGCTATGTCTCTGTGCAAGATTAGATTCTTTACTTCACACATAAAAATTGGGCTTGACCTCTTTGGGGGATCTGAGAAAGCTTTTCTAAGTGACAGTTCAGCTGAAATCTAAAGGTTATGTAGATATAAACTCAGGAAAAGAGGTTGAGGGATCATCCCAGATTAACAATAACT